TTTTTTAATTAATTTCGTGACTTTGAAAATTTTCAAAAATGTTTCAATGAACGTATTTCGGCCCTTCTTTTCAAATAATTTTTAGGTCGTAAAAGATAGCTTAAATCTATTAAATTTATGTTAAAATTTACATAATTATCTTTAATTTGAGCTATTATTCGTCGCCTTTTGATCCATTTTTCCATTTATTTCGTAGTTGGGAAAATTAAAAAAAATCTAGAATAAATGAATTTTTAGCTTTTATTATCAAAAAACTTTCATCTGTTACAAATCCTATTTTTTTAGGTAGATGTCTTTAAATATCTATTTATTGTAGTCGGTCTCATATCGTCATTTGCAAAATTATGATAAAAAATACATTTTAGGACATTATTGCCTTTTAATAACGTGTTTTTTTTTTAATATTCAAACGAGAAATCTACCTATCCATGTCGGGTATGGCCGAATGGCGCTTTTTTTTTATTTATAATCATGTCACAAGTATCTAGAGTAATAAAAACCGGTAAGTTCATAAGACAGAGAGATTGTAATTAATATCACTTATCACACAATAACACAATCCGAAAACCCCCCTCAGTGGAAAGCAGTTTTTAATTCCACCTCTGCGTCAAATATTTTACACTTTACATATCCAAACATTGCTGCAAAACAGCAATAAAGTTTTAATTCGATATTCAAAATATAAATAACGAAGAACTAAGATCTCCTGCATTTTTAATTTATTCGCTTCTCCTGTATGGGTAGAATTAAGTAAATATAAAAAAATTAATTTGAATAGAAAAATCTACTTAACATTTAATATACATAATTTATTTAAATCCAATCTTTACTATTTTACAATTACTCTTTTCAAACAATCAACTTCACTCAGAATACAATCAGTGAGATTTTTCATTGTTGGATTATTTGTAACAACTTTTATATTAAAATCCTTTGCATTTAAAGGAAATAACTTCACAACCATTACTTTATTGTGCTCTAATATTTATTATTACTAAATACACGTTTATGATGTCAAATAATCTTATAATTTTATAGATAAAAACAAAATTATAGTACTTCTCTATAATTTGCCTGCAAATTTTTGAGAATAGTTTTTAATACTCTAAGAAATTAGAGATAAAATTTTTTTTAAGAACATTTGAATACATTCCTTTTGAATATAAATTATACCAGTAATATGTAAATGGTGCTTTTAAACAAAAGAAACTTAATTTTTAATAGTTTTAAACACTTTGAATTTATATACCGGCGTTTTTTTTTTCCTTATATAACGTTGCTTTCTTAATCAAGAGTTTTTCATCTTATTATTTTGTAAATTTTACAATAAACATTTAAAAAGAATGATCAAGAATAGACAAAAAAAACTGATAGTTCTTAGACACTTGTAAAATATGTAAAAGACATTTTAAAATACAAGTAAATATTTCATAAAATAAATAAAATTCACAAATCCTGCGCAATTACTTATATAAAAGCAGTATATGTGTACTATATTATCAACTTCAAGATAAAAGTTCCACTTCAGTTTGAATATTTTGTCTTGCTTGCTCTTCGAACTTCAAGCGGAATTCCTTTGTGGCAAAAATATTTGGTATTTGTAAAAAATTTTGTAGTACCTAAATTAATGAAAAATCATATAAAAATGATTAGGTATAAACATTTATCTACTTGAGATATACACTAATTCGTCGATTAATTTACCTTTAATCTCAATGCTGTATACATTGGCTCACTGAGAAAAGAATATTCTCCACGTATTTTTTCTCTATATTCCAAATAAACTTCAGGACTTGAGCCTAAAATCGCCATATCTAAATCTAATAAATAATGAGCATCATCGCTACCGAAGGCACCTCCTACTTTATGTTCTTCAGTACTGTGAATTGCAATTGCTTTAAGAAGTGCACACGTTTCATTTCGGATTTCGTCATCCTAAAATATCAAAATAAAAATAAAAATAACAATAACAATAAAAGTATAATTTATAATGAAAAGTCTCTAATATATCTATAAACTTACTTGAGGTATTTCAGCTTCATCTGCAAATTCAATAAAGTGTTCAGTGTTGCGATTTTCTTCATCAAGAGCTTTTGGATCATATTCAAAACTGTTTAAAAAAATCATTAAGATTAATTTCAATTTTGAAGCATTATCAATAAAAAGTAAAACTATTTTTGACTTACTTTTGGAAAAACACAGCCAAAAGTATAGCTTTAGGATTTTTCAAATGATCTTTCACTTCCAAAAAATGACCCAACTTCTGCAGTAAGGAATCCAAATTGTGGTACGTTCTTTTTTCATCAGAATATACTTCTTGTAAGCGAGCTAACCAGGTATCGCATACAGCTGCATTAAAACCTTCAGTTGCTTCTTTCCAACAATCTTCCAATAAACTCATCTTAAGTCTGATTCAAATTTAATTAATTATATTAGATATTAATTTATAATTAATTGAATAAAATAAAGATGTTGAGTCTTTTATAGTTAGTAGCTATTTAATTGACCTTTCGACATATTCATTACGTTACTTACATTTAGGTTGACAAAAAACAGTTCACAAAGTTAGATGATCAATAATTTATGTTAAAAAATAGCTTTTAATCAACAACCCATATCGTTTTATTCACAATCTAAATATGAACTGTCAGCCCAAAGATTTACGAGTTTCACAAATTATTGATCGAAAGTATACTATACACATTGCAACTCAAATATATATATTTATATACATAGATATATGTATAAATTTCATACGTCGTATATGATAAAAAAGTTACATATCATTTATAAGGATACAAAATTATACCAATTTTCAGCAGTAATTATTATTTATAATTACAAAATTTAGTATCAAGTTTAAGAAAGTGAACAAAATTTGTTAACAGCCGATCCCCTCTTTTTTTCGCGTCACACTCACTGCGAAAAATGGTACTATTCTTGTTGCACTCATGATTATAAAGCTACTGCAGTTTTATGTTTTTTTTAAACAAATAAGAATTTCGAAAAAAACGCTCTGTTACGAAATAGATATTTAAAAAATCTATTGCTTAGCAGAGCGCTTTTTTCAAAATTCGTCTTTGTCTAGGTGAAAAATATAAAGCTGAAATCGTAGGGACCGGCTATTAATGCGATCCTAATAAACTATTTATACAATTTCATTTATTATAACTTTATGAAATTAATAATAATGTCCAAAAAAATTTATTTGAAAAAGTAAAAATTATTAAGAATTGCAATTTATGAGTTAAGAGATTTTTTTATTCAAAAGATTCTAGGGGATGAAATTCAAGTTTATAAAATAAAACATTTTTATTTAAAATTTTACGCGAAACGACTAATACTTATTTGTATAGAATTAACTCACTATTGTCATCTATGTCTTGTTGAGAGTGCCGAAAACTGTTTTATTGACATGAATAAGTCGTAAATTACAAATTTCTAAGGAATTCCAGGGCACATATATTAAGAATATTAAGATCTTAGGTAGTTGTGCTGCGGAGGGAAATAGCGTCGAAAAATTAAAAATTTTTGTTCACTTATTTAAGGTATTAAGATAAAATTACCATTCAAATTTGAACTCGATTCGAGTTATTTATTATTAAAGTTCGGATTATTAACATTGTGAACAATGAGGAATATGCGTTTTAAGTAACGTTCGCAATTTGAATAAAAAAACTAACAGTCAGAAACTTTTGAAAAACTAACAAGATATTTAAGAGTCGGGACAGTTTCGCTGAAAAAAAAAGTAGGTAAAACAGGGAGGAGATATATACTGTGAAGGCGGGAATGCGCAAACTTTAAAATAAGAATTGGCGCTTGATAGATGAAACAATAATTATAGGAAATAAACATTTAACGGAAAAATAGGCTAAAAGATATAGCGTTAGTCCGACAATCGAATACAAATACTTTTAATGTTGTTATACGCAACACCTGAAAACCAAATTACGGAAATTACTATACGAAATCACAGTAAAGCAACTTTAAATAAAATAATTTTAAGACCCGTAGAATTACAATACGACAGTCCGATCGCAGTAATATACCAAAAACTAGGAAAATTGTATTCTATAACTTGATGATTAATTTCCTCAACAAATTATAATCACGAGTAGTTTACATTAACTGAGAAATCAGATGAAAAATGATTGGTATGATATAGAAATTGAACTAAAAAAAATATATTTATAAAAATTAATAAAAAAATTAGGAAAACGGTTGACCTAAAGGCCATCCCTGCAAATTCCCGCTAATTCCATATCTAAGCGCTTGAAATTGCACTCATTATGTTTTTGAGCTCTTCGAGCTTAAAAATATAATTTATTTGTTATTTTAAGCTCTCCGAGCTCAGAGAATAAGATATCCTATACTTTTGAGCTCTTCGAGTTCAAAAGTTTGATAGAAGTTTAATAAAACACCTTTTTTTGAATTTTCAAACCGCAATAACTTCTGAATGGATGACCTGATTTTTACTCGGTTGGCAGCATTTGGCGCACTTTTTCAAATTCTACGGTATACTTTGGAACACAAATTGATCAGACTAGAAATTCCGGTGTGATTCGAAAAAATCACTTTTTTTCGTCAACGATAACTCACGAACGAATTAACCGATTTTGACCGGCTTGGCGGCGATCGACGTGGTTTTTTGATGATAAGAGCTGATTAGTTTTTGGAATCGATCAGTAAAGTCATTTAATAGTATATTGTGTGACTAGGGATGAAACAAAACGATTTCAAATCAGAGTGAAGTTGCCTGCCCGAGCGAAGCGAGGGCAAGCATCACTCGGTGTGAAATCGTGTTTCATCCCGCGTCACCCATTATATTTTTCATATAAGTTCCATTAAAAATGCTAGTTTCAATGTCTGGAGTCAACCAGAACTAAATAGTTTCAGACGAATAGCAAAAATACCATTTTATTGTAAATAAGTTGGTAAAACTTATTAAGAAAATTAAAAACTGCAATTCAAGAAAGTAATGGTTTATGTTTTATTAAACATTTATTCGTAAATTGAATAGCTTTCTTTTGTCATTCTTACTTATGCTTAGTAACAGAATTATAATATGTTTTTTGCCCTCCGGGCGGAAAGTGGCAACTTTCGTTCCGCTGCACTAGACAAAGTTGTCACTTTCCGCCTTCGTCGGACAAAAAAATAGTATACAGCCCTTAGGAAGTAAAAAAGAAAACCTCAGATCACATGTGATCTGAGGCTTTTCTTATTTTCCTTCCCAAGAGGTGTAATATACTATAGTACAGTTAACAGTTAGAGTGACAATTATAAAGGTATAAAATAAACAATAGTATATTACACACCGAGGGAAGTAAAGTAAGAAATGTCTCAGATCACATATAATTGTTGGCCGAGGCGAAGCCGAGGTCAACAAACATGTGATCTGAGGCTTTCTTATTTACTTCCCGAGGAGTGTATGCTATTTTTTTGCTCGACGAAGGCAGAAAGTGGCAATTTTGTTTAGCGCAGCGGGCCGAAATTCGACGCTTTCTGCCCGTCGAGCAAAAAAAGATACTTTGATAAGATTGAAAATAAAGCTGCAACTTCATCTCGCGGACAGAAAATGATTGATTCCTGCCCGACAACAGTCGCATTGGTTTGGAATTGACTAGTTTCGGTTGGCTCAACAGGCATTGAAACTCGCATTTTCAATGCAGGTTATATGAAAAAGTTATTAAATAAAAAACTAGTTTAAACAAAATTTCTTTTTCGTAGTTTTTCTGAGATTTCTCCAAATTTACTGGTCCAAATCGGTCCGAATTGTATTCTAAATCTAAGTTTGGTTAAGCCCTTTCGAATGGCATCAACCGCGATGAAATCGGTCAAGCCGTTCAAAAGTTATGAGAGGTTTACATACATCTATTCACACACACACACACACACACACACACACATACATACATATACATACACACCATCGCGGGAATAGTCAGGGAAGCAACATATGACCTTAAAACGTCGAGATCTGATGAAAACTCGATTTTTGCAAAACGGGGTAAAACCAATAACTTCCCGATTTTCTTAGCGCTAAGTTAAAAAAGATTAATATTTTATTCATAAATTGTAAGAAATAGTAATAAATCTATTAAAAAATTATGACCAAATAAAATTTATGAATTAACGGTCAAATATTTTTCAATCACTGTGTACAGATTAGGGTGTCATTTTTAGGCGATATTTTTTTTTTTACTGCTATACCAGAAAATTTGGTAGGGTAAATGCACCAATTATTGACCGATTAAGGTTTTCTTTTTCTGTACTAAGCTATAAAAAATCTATTAACCTACTAAAAACAATTTGTAATGGATTTTATTAAAGTTAAGTACTTAATTAATAATAATTAATAACTATTTATAATAAAAATTAACAAAGTTATATTAATTTTGTTATTTGAATCTTGAAATACTAAAATCACCAATTATTGACCGAAGAAACCCAATAAATAACCGACCGTTCTCCAATTAATTATAAGTAATCTTGTAAACTACATGTATGTAATTAAATATATGCAGTACTTTTAAAGTATTAACGACATCTTCAACAAAACTAAACATACAATATAATTTTAAACCGTACTTTTTTATAAAATAATATAAACAATAGCAATAATTAACATAAAGTCAAATTTCTTTAGGTCACAAATAATCACAAATTCATTTTAATGACGATAATTCTTCTGATTAACTTAAAATTTTTTTATTCTTCTCCTTCTTTTTCTCAATTAAAGCTTTTTTACTAGCTTGTAACTCGTTTTTATTTTTTTAATTGCTTAGCAAATTTTTTCTTCTAATAATTCGTTCTTTGACATAACCGTTCACTAAAAAAATTAGAACAAAATAAAATTTAATAATAAAAAAAGATTTTAAGTATTATTTTAAGTATAAATATACATTTTATAATGATTATTTTTATATTTACAAAATATTGAATGACTAAAGTACTTTAAACACTTGACAGATTTAATTTAGAGGTCAAGAAGTTAGTATTATAAATATACGGCCATTAATTAGATTGTGATAAAATCAGAGAGTCTAATAAATGACCGAATGAATTTTTCACTGGGTAAAGAGCTTCTGACGGATCCAATAGTTGACCGGTCTTAAAATAATATCAAAACTTATAATTTAACTTTATTTTTTCAAAAAAGTTAGAATCTGATCTTTAATTAACATAATAAAACTAAAATATTTCATATTATGCCGATAAATATCACTAAACTAATGATAAAATGCACTCACTCTCCAATTGTACGCTAGTTATTTTTCACCGTTTTATGGCTGGTTCCGTTGTAAACAAACTCAGAATATTTTTTTAAAGCTACAATCACTGCGCAATTAATTGCGTAATTTTTTATTATGATGATTAAATGCCATATATTCTTATTTTAAT